AGTGCATCGGTTCAAGTTGCCACACTTCACAGTAGTATACAAAGAACAGATGGATAGGAAAAGACTAATATCAAAGTACACAAAGGTGTATGAGAGGAGAAGGAATTTGAAAATCAAGGTTAGTGAAAATATTCAAGTTTTAGAAGGCGTCGAAGAGTGAACACATCTGCGCCGTTGTGACCAGTTTTCAACCATTTCATCAACAGTCATCAATCACTGGTTACTATCGTTTTGAAGACGCCAGCCAGACAGTCTGTGCCTCCCTACAGGGCTAAAACCAGCAGTCAGTGACTTCATGGTTGATGGTACGTTTTGATATCGCCACCCTGAACCATCTTCCAGCCTACTCCAACTTCCCATAGCATCACACGTCGAGGTAGTCGATGATTCGGGAGGCGCAGTACATGTCAAAGATATCTCAGTCTATCAAGGTTCACAATCGGCTTTCCTATCTTGCCTAGTACCCTTCGCCTGGCCTCGATATTGCTAATATGCTGATCCTACCATACGCGAGTGATGAGATGAAGACGCATGTGATCGAAAACCTTTACTTTTAAAGGCCACATCTGACAGCAGTGAGCCAGTACAAGATGGACTGCAGCGCACAATACTTGCCTTTCAGTGGGTAGTTGGATATCTTGCCATTCGGCACCGCAGATGATGCAAGTTGGCAAATGCCTTCTGAATTCGAGCTGAAATTACATCAGCACCCAGCTCGTTCGGTCTGATGCAATTGATCAAGTCAATGAAGTGGTTGACGCGTTCCACCACTTCGCTACCCATACCTGAAATAGGAGTTGAGGACCAGTCGTCGAGCGTCATTTGACAGGTGCAAAGCTCATGCAAAACATACTCAGGTTTGTGTTCAGGGGTTCAGGAGAGCCAGAATTTTATCAGAGTCTTCACCTAGCAGAACAATATCGTCCGCCTACTCCAGTTCAGCCAGATGCCCCCTGGGGAGTAAATCAATCCGTGTGAAGTCAGATGCACATAAGGTTATGCCCATTAGTACATGTATAAGGAAACTATACAGGGACCGTGACAGTCAGCATCCTTAGCAGGTACCAATGGTTATCCTCAATTCAGATAACAGCTCTTCTTGAGTCTTCATATGATTGTGTGAGTTTGAGTAGTGATCTTTGATTAGCGTTGTACATTTACTCGGTAATCCTTTCATTGTGAGACACTGCCAAAACACCTCATGGTCTACTGAGTTGAATGCCGTATTCTGGTTAAGAAATGTGGCAAGTGTCAACCGTCAGTAAGCATGCCTATGTTCCAGTACTGGTCAGTATGCTGCATTTGTAAAGAACGTTTTTTTCTTACACTACAGTTGGTTCACTCTGTTTTTCCACTACGTTCAACGAAGTGCATGCCGGAAAACTTGTTTCATATTTTAATTTTCACATAACATGTTTCACATCCATAGAACTGACGTAAGTAGACCTCTACACACTGCTCTTCCACTAAATCAACAGTAGTTAGGAGCGCCAAGAATAAGAAATTCCCCTTACTACAAGTTACAAGTGAAGCATTTATACACTATCCTGTAACTTGCTTGATGGTGGCTAGCAGTTGAATCCAGGGTGTACGTTTCGTCCTGTTTAGGACTCGACAGCTGGATCTATCGATTCAATCTGGTGTAACAACGAAATAGTACAATTATCAATAAATAACATTTACGTACTAATTTGATATTTGTATTTCTCAATTAGTGAATAAAAATGAAGAGTGTTTTTACTGACGCTTCGTTATTTAGTGCTAATGGCTCTGTCATAGTCATGGTTAACTGAAATTTATAATAACCGAGCTTATGTATGATCTAACGTTTGCTGCATAAATGTTTCTACGTTGTGATATTGTTGAAAAAGATGACAATCACATGTTGTCTGTCGTATGAACGTGTGCTATTACGTCTTATTGCATGTGTGTGTTGGTTACTTCAGTATGTGGGGTTGCGATGAAAGCAGATCAAGTAATGTTTTATTATGTCATTCCTATTTACGCAATTTTCTTTTCACGTGAGGAGACTCCATAGTTAGACTTTCTTTGGTCAGTAACTTCGATATTATTAGAGTTAACCTTATGATCTGAAATTATGGCATTCACAGCTTTAAGTGAATTGTTTTCAAGTCTTTTCAGCTCAACTGAATTTCTTGGGGATCGATGGTAACCTTTAAGTGTTCCTTTTTCTCTCAATTTTATACAAAGTTTTGTCCAGTATACATTGCATCACAGTCTGAGCAATTTATTTGATTTACACAGTTAGATTCCGAATTTAAGATAATTTTACCCTTCACATAGACCAAGGTATTCTGTATTGTGTTTAATATTTTTTAGCATACTCTGATATTGCATTTGTTTAGCATTCTCCTAATCTCTCATCCGAGATATATGACTTGTATGGATGACCACTTTTATGGTTGATGATTTACGAGTACATTTTCGGTCTAATTTGATAATATGTTGTATTTTACAAATGAATTTCACTGGACAATGGTCATAGTGAATATCATTCATCTGACACTCAATTTCTTATAAAGCATTTCTAAATTTTAAGGCAAAAAATGAAAAGCAATAAAAATAAGTGGGCAGTAGGGATAATTCCTATCTGGCATAAAAACCAAGGGATTACAGATGGTGTGAAATACAGTCTTTGAATGATTGTGGATTCCAGTGGATATAAAAAAGTAGCAGACATTTTCACAGGTGAAACATTCGATACTGAAATATAAAGCTGTTTAAATTACTTTAAAACTTTTAAAAAATTACTTGTAAATACATTGTGATAGAGTGAGCGTAATTTGGGTGAAGTTATTCATCAGGAAATGATTATCATTTTGTCTATCCGTGGTTTAGTAGACTAGTATTGATACTGGGTGATGGTTGAAGGTAAGATGGAAATTTAGACCGCTGTGGGATTCGCACCAATGATCGTTGGGTTTCCAGTCCGACGCTTTACCAATTGAAAGAAGAGGTTTGACTGCTGACCAGATTTTTTTTTCCACTTCAATCATCTGGGATTTTTCCCGACTGCCATATGAATTCGTAATGCGTTACTACCGCTTGATAGTATTCACACTGACAAAAGCCCAGTTGTCACTGGTTCGAATCCGACAGTGGTCCAAATTTCTATTTCACCTTCAACTATCACCCGGTATAAAGACATGCAGCGACTTAAAATGACTTGAGTAAAGCTAGTTTAAAAGTGTGTTACATAAAATTTCTTTGTGTATTGGAGACCTATACCGACCAAATAGTATGTCAGCCTACATTACATATGTGATTACATAAGGTGATAAGACGTTTGGTATTGTCAAATTTTGAACCAAAGTAAATTGATAATGATGGATAGTGGAAACCAGAATGCGCATTTTGACTTATTTGGGACTCATCAGCTGCCTACCTAACTTACAGTGAGCGACGTTTTTGCCACTAGGACTCGCTTCAAACGTCATAATGTTATCCAATGAGGTACGATAGTCACTTCTTGTACAACAGGTATGGCTTTAATGTTGTTTTTTGTATTATCCCTCTGTTGATTGGACCGAATTGATCGGTTTCTATTGGTATACGGATTATCCAATATTGATATAAAAGTCGAAACGACAGGCGATATCAAGGCATACGCGCAGGAGTTCATATACCAATACATACCGATCATTTTGGTCCAATCAACAATGAGATAAAGTAAATTAAGTTTATTGAAGAATATCAGTTCAACGTATCAATCAAATGAACTCATAGTTATTACTGTTTGATAAATCACAGTTTTTAGCAGGGTGACGTAGATGTCATCATTTCATAGCAATACATGTTTACCTATTCGAAGATATTTATCGTCATGTTATCATAATTATTCTGTAGTAACTAGTAGGTTGTTCCCCGTCAGTAGTAATGCTCCTAGGTTTGTTTGGATATCACTATACCGTAATCTGATAAAAAGAAGTACCTAGTAATGATATGCTTCATGTTAAAACAGATTTAGAATACGAAACAAGCTTGTCAATTTGAATATACATACAAAAACTTCTGTTTTTTTTATAAATTATGTGTACCTAATTGAATATTTGTTTTGTATGCTTTTCATTTACATTGTAAACAGCTTTTTAATCTGATTTCATTGTTAATCTATGAAATATATAGTATTCCTTCAGGACTTGTTTGCTGTAGCATTCATTTCGAAAATACGCAGTGAAATCAATATTTTTGCTTGCCAATCATTTCATTTACTCGGAAGTCATATTGGTCAGTTGGAGACAGTTTCACAAAGTTTTACAGACTTATGCCACTACTAATGCCCGTATAATATTTGAATGACTAGTACGGGTCAAATGGACAGAGCGACAGCACCCTCTGTCTCACCATATAGCTATTGAACTTATGCATTGAAGGTGGATTACTTTATTTTCACTACAAATATTTGACGATCACCGCCTCTGCCAATATCCATTGGATTTAGTAGAACCACTGCACAGTTATTGTTAGAGCCTAGGTGTAGAGTATTACGGAAGAGAGAAAGGTTGTTTTATGAGATTGCTGAACTACATTGACTTGCCTATATGGGTTGTGATTTCCATATTTTGAGCCACTGTTCCCACCAACGCACGATGTTTGGGAAAGCAAAATTTGTTTGGAAAATTAAGAGACTGCGTCATTAGGTGATGTTTCTAACCACTGAACTAAATCCTGTCCTAAAGTTCAGGCTTTTTCGTTGTATTTAATGAGATAATCAAAATGTATGACTGATGATGTGTAACTCACTTCTACCTTGATATAATGATATGAATCGCGACTACTTCAACTGATACATACTACGTCATGTAATACCTACTGCTTTCACCAGTGGGATTCGGCAGTCTGTCATCTTCCAACTAGTATTTTGTATTATCTTTAGAACTAACTATAGTTATATCTTACATATTTCTACATTTCCAATTACTTCAGTGTTAGTATTAAGGAACTGTTTTTATCACTTTTTCGTTTTCATTTTGATTCAGTTTGGTCTTTATCGAAAACTCAATAATTTCAATATTGACTCAAGCAGTAGCAGTCTAACTCATTCACAGGATAAAATTTTGGAACATGGGGATGATATTGAAAAATTATACGATAAAAACCCTAATGATAGTAACGACTGTATTCTGCATCAGTCGAATGCATCAACTGAAACTGAAAATACCAATGGATGTGATAACAATGACATGAGTTCACCACATATTGATTCTTTATACAGTCAAGAAAGTGAAGTGGAAGAGGCGAAAAGTTTTATCAAAGATGAAGTTTACGAGAATTCTAAACTTCTGGAACTTGGTAAAGAGTTCACTTTAAAAGATATTTTAGCTCATCGTGTACCTGAATTAGAAGTTGACAGTAGTTGTATGGATGACGATGATGTATCAATGCATACTTATCAAGATTCTATTTCAAAATAATAATCATAATGATAAAACTGGTTTAATTTTATGTTGATACAGGATTCCATATTGAAGCTCTAGATTCATTCATACAACATTTAACAGATACACCATTAATAAAGCTTGACATTTTGTTTTTTGTCATATGGAACAATCGTTAACTCCATCGAGTGAAATAATGATCATTTTATGGCGGAAAGTCTCACTGAGAGTGGATAGTTCAAAACTACTTTTTCTTTTGTTACAGTAGTATGTTTGTTTGTTTGATTAATTATTTCATCAATGTATGATAAAGCTTATTGACCATGACATACTTTGAAAATAAATGACTATCTATTTCACCGAAATTTCATCAAAGTAAGCATTATGGTAGACAGTCAAAAGAACTTAGACTTTGTACAATATATCTAAAAGACATTGATTGATATTGCTGTTTAATTGTTATTGTTGATTAGGATTGTACATATTGAATTTTGAATTTTCCGGTTTCAATGAATTGGATTGTATGTCTATGGTTAAAAGAATGAAAAGAATATGAATCAGTTAAAAAAATTTTATTTTGTTAATGATTCTTTTGGCTCATATTATTGAGAGTTCAACTGAACTGTCATTTTAAGTCACATTTCGTTTCTACTCTAAAGAGTAAGTTATCACTTTTGATAAAATACATATATTATATGATTGGAGGCGATTGCTAGAAAGCTCTGTTTTACCTGGGTTTCGTGATTATTCACAGTGGTCAGCAGGATGTGTTTGTCTATTTGAGGGAACTGATATCCTCTGAGATATCCAAACCCAAGTCAATCCAGTACTGCAATTTGAGACATTTCCACAGAGCCGTTCATCAAGTTCTTGAAATATTATAATGTGATGAATTTTCTTTCTGCAGTTAAGCTTTACTCAATTGCTAGATTCTTACTAATTTTGGGTATATCCTGATGCAGCTGTGTATATGTATATAATTTCATCTATTTTTTTCGAATAAGAGTATTTTCATCTTACTTTTAGCTATAGCCCAGTGAGATTGTGTGACAGACGCAATTCCATATTGTAAGACGTCATATGAAAGAGTCTATTCTAGCTAACCGGATATGGAAAAAAGTCAAGTTATTCAGTTTCACTTAGTGGTTTGTGTGGATTGATTTGTTTTGTAGTATTTTTCATCATAGGTTCAAATTATTTGGATAACCACTGAAAACTCGGAGCACCAGTCAGTTGTTTCGTACTAGTTTGCGACTCCTAAAAGTTATGCACCCACGACTTGTGATGTATCAAGCCTAGGAGCTTCAGGTCTGATGATGGGCACGTAACCAATCAGCTAATTCAATGTTTCACATTTCTTCACTTATATAGATTTAAAATGTAGCGCGACCATCATCCACTGCCACCGGAGAATATCTTTCCGGACACCTGAGTTAGTCGACTCCACTAGTCATGATTTTTAATTAAAACTTTGGGGAATCAATTTTAAAGCATTTCACTAATGAACACATTCAGTTTTGTTTGTCAAGTGAATCATAAAATCTTATTTCTTCTTCATCTTTCAGTATCCTGAACCTTTTCCATACACAAATTCACACAGTAAGGATGTGTTGGTTTATGGTACTAATAATGTGACTTCAATATATTCAGTAACCCACTACTCCATGTCGTATATGTATACCAATAATTCACAGTTTCAAAGAAAATGACAAATAATTCAGCGAAAAAGATTTTCTCTTTCGACGATGTCATTTTCTAAAGCTGTACAACTAGTGCTAAAAATTGAAATCAAGAAAGGAAAGTAGTTGTGTAGTAATCTTTTAGATAATGATAATGGAAATAGTGAGAAAGATAAGATGAAAATTGTTAGTAGATTTGAAACACGATGACTGAGTGTCCCCTTGATATATTTAAAGAAGGTGAAGAAAGAAACTAGGGTCGTAATGAAGGTTATAATAGTAAACTAATTAATTATAATGAAATGGAAAAAGGAAGAGAAAAAATGTGAAATTGTTAACACCGTGATAAGATAAAAGATTGAACATACTTCTACAAGCAGAGATCAGGCTTGAATTGCTGAAATACCAATGCTTCTCCCATGTACAATTATCTAAAGCGTACTCCTTTTGAACTATTCCCTTTGACTTTGAAAATGACACTGTAGGGGAACTCTGGTGGAGCTATATGTCCAGAAGTGACTAACTGTCCGATAATTGAGCCGTTAATTGATTTACATTCTTCCCTTTACAACAATACAGGATAGTGCTCAAAAATACGTTTGGAAAGTGTGCACTTTGTGCAGCTCCACTAGACCAAGTAGCTTAGCAGAAATTGATTGAAGTGGCCCGAAGCAGCAGCTTGTTGCTAAGACACTCCGAAACCATTTGTTAACTGGAGAAGCTGATCTGTAGCTTCGCATAGAAGAGTGTCTTCTTCAGAGATTTGGAAATTCGATTCTTCAGGATCGCCGCTGCCATATTGCCCTTGAAAGTCCTCTTTGGAGCTATGCTTATTTGCTCCATACTCTGTCTTAATTTCGAGTTTTTTTTCTCAACAAATCTTCATGGGTATCCATTTTATATGGGAATTCGCCGAACTGTGTCCATAGTATCCAATAGTATCAATCAAGCTGATTCTTCTGACTCTTGATGACAAAGAATGAATCAGATTTCTTTTTTCTGCTGAGTGGTGTCCAGCTATGAAAATTCATGTATTGTCCATTTCATGTTGGCTTCTTATGAACCTATCTCTAGACAGAACTATCTGGTCTCCGTTTCAATAAGATATTCAAAAAATGAAATTCTGAGTTCTCTTCAAATTCTAATGTTAAGTTGACTGATATCTGTAATTTGACCGCACATGGTGAATATATCGTCCATATATCTCCTATATATAGGTAGAAACTATTAATTGTTGAGTCTAGCAGACTATTCACAGTTTCTGTGGACCATATCTATATGAAGTCATGAAGTGCAGTTTTTAACTCAGTGGTCAGTGTATATGCAAACCACTGTCTGACTTTTTCGTTTCAACTGTTTGTCAAAACTATTGTTATTTAGTCACCGTGTAAGTACAGTCCCAATGATGAAATTCAATGTACTTATACTTGATGTCGGAATCAAACAAAGTAACACGCTTAGTCTTTAACGGGTATATTGTGAATTAACTGAGGTTTTTTGAATTAACTTGTCAGATCGAAATCGGTGAATAATGGAAGAGATCTCTTTTTGGTGGTTTTGTTCTCGAAGCCCCAGTGGCGTAGTGGATAACGCTTTGGCGTTTGAAACGAAGAATACTGCGTCTCAACCTCAGTGGGTTGCAGCTAATGAGTCCCAAATGAGACGAAACATGCGTCCTGGATTCCTCTGCTAGTCACCGAGATCAGTTTAAGCATACAGCTTTTCAGTGAGCATCCATTATATACGTGACAGATAAAATAATATCCCCAAAATGGTACCAGTTGGGACAAAATTCAAGTCAAATTTCATCATTAATTGAATTGGAATCCACAAGTAAACCCTCGGAAACTATGGAGCATTGATGTAATTATCTTGAAATTAGGAGTTATCAGGTTTTTTATATAATGAACAACTAAAGCGTCCTAAGACGTATGTGTGTCCATCGTTTTCTAGCATTTCTGGGCATTATCTTCTATCCATTATTCGACTCTTATATTCTTGCTTTCAATGGGACCACAAACTGAGGTTCATAGTGTTATGTAGGAAGGACAAGTTAGTCAATCAGGTTTTGAACCTTTGCGCTGATGAAGTAGCTTGGGCACGTGTTAAGCATGAAAATCTAACGTTTTTCTCGACAAACAATTTTAACTCAAGTAGGAATTTGTTAGAAGAAAGCTAAATTTTGGCTAAGAGCTCGATAAGGTATCAAAACTTCAAAGTACATGTTTGTTCATCTCATCTAACTGTTGGACATAAATAGTCAGAAATTCTTATTGACACTACTGAAAATCAAACTTAGATAAATTCACTCCTTATCATCTTCACCTCGTCTTTTCTCTCTTCTTATAGTTTAGTTAATTTAATTACCAATAAACTTCTTTTTAAAAGTCAATATGAATGAAGAATATTCGTTTCAATAACTTCTCGTCAGATTCTGCAGTTATAAAATCAATTTCGCTAATATGATAATAGCCAAAATTCATGGCTAGAATGGGTATGGAAATATAATTACCTTTTTGATTCTTTCTAAATCTCTGCTTTCATTCCCACTTTTCTCCTTTTGTTATTATTTCTAGTTGTGTTTTTAACCAGATTTTCCTCCCGTCATATTATAATCAATCTTGAAGGTCTTTCAGGTTGGTATTCATCACGAACTGACATCAGTTGGAGGAAAATTGGAAACTTGGGAGCACTGGAAAGATGTTTCTTTTTAGTATGGGACTCTCCAACGGTGCGCCTACATAACCCCACCCCACCAGGGATCGAACCCTGGACCTTCAGGTTCCGTGGCCGGCACATTACCATTGAGTGACTGGGTTTGAAACCAATGGTCCACATAGCGCGGCCATCACCCAATGTCATCGTTGAGTATTTGTCCTCACAGCCACCACATTTGCCACACCGATTACGATTTCTCATTAGAACTTCAGGAATCACTTATCGAAACTAGTTACTAAAGCGCACTACATCAATTGAATTTGGGGTTTGAAAAGATTTGGTGATTTTTCAAGTTTGTATTCATCATGAAATGACATCATTTGGAGGAACACTGGGAACCTGAGAGCATTGGCCGTGAGGACAAATACACAACGATGACATTGGGTGGTGGAACCTGAAGGTCTAGGGTTCGATCCCTGGTGGGGTGGTGTCCTGGGTATGCACTGATGAGGAGTCCCATACTAGGACGAAACAGCTGTCCAGTGCTCCCAAGTTTTCAATGTTCTTTCAATTGATGTCAGTCCATGATGAATACCAACTTGGAAAATCACTATATCCCCATAAACCTCAAATTCAAAATTTGTTAAAAATTTTTTGGCATTATTATCATGCTTATTATCTAGGCTGTTTCACAGTTTAACCATCTTATGATGACATTTCTACTCAGTTTCTGCCCTTTTGATAAATTCATATAATTCTTAGTACTAATCACTCAATTGACACGATGCGACCTTGAACTTAAATGGCGTAATGAGAAGACGAAGACTATCTGAAACATCGCTATACATTTCAAACAATTTGATTATGCATAAACTTGCTGAATTATTTATATGAAAAATTTACTAAAATGAACCAGTTGCTTAGATCTTTATGATTAATTTTCCTTCCTCCTACGTCTGATCACTAATCAATTGATAAAATTTTCACTCAGCTTATCACCACAATTGACATAGATAAATATCCACAAACTTAAAGAATCGAATTGTAATCATAATTCCATACCTATAGCAACGTGGATTCGCCGCAAATTTTGGCTATTAATATTGTTAACGAAATCTACTTTATAATTGTAGAACCTGAAGAAAAGTTATTGTAAACGATATTCTCCTTTCATATTTGACTTTAAATATATGAAATTGCAATCGTTATCTGAAATCGTAAAACTTCTTTCTACTTCAATTTCTGTG